GAGTTCAAAGCATGACGATGAATTTGTCAAAAAGGACTATGAACTGAATTATTATATCGATGAACAAGCGTGTTGCAATGATCAGTGAGCAACGAGGAGAACGATTAAAGTATTAAATTTATTAAGTGTTTCTATATTACATTGTTTTTCCTTATTTATACCGTTTATATTGGCAGTGCCTTTTGACTTCAATAACTGTTTTAGATGCTTAATAGTGACGAACGTATTAAGTACACACTTCTACCATGCATATTCAATAAAAGTACTATGTGAAAACTCAACGATTTATTACCTCTGTGAAAATTATTTTGAAGACCTTATACATGCATACAAACTAAATAGAACTCAATTTCAAGACGTTATGCACACGTTATGCCACACGTTACGCCTTTCAGTATATAAGAATCTATAGCAAGCTGACATGTTACACACGTTACGCCTAATATATTAAAGGTAGACCTATTCTACCTTTATAAGAACGGGGCGTAACATGTGTAATGTGTCGGTTTTCATTAATATTCTATATAAACTCAAACATAACGTGTGGCGTAACGTGTGCGTAACATGTCATATATTCTTATATATTTCTTTGAGAGTAAATGTGCAATGATGGCTGCATGAAAAAAGTTAAAACTGTTCATCCAAAAACACCAGTTCGTCAAAGCAGCGTGGGTACGGAGACAGGTCTTTCTGCTCCGCCTGTGGAATCTTTCGGGTAAACTCAAAGACCCTCCACCAAACAAACCAGATAATTTCTGTTTCGCATTCGTCAATCTGTCCGTTTCTGCCGTAGTAGAAAATTGTGTTGCTTAAAGTTGCAAAAATTGGATGTCAGAGTCCAGATTGAAAATCTGGACTCTGACATAGAGGATCCAATAAGCTGTTGAAAACGGTTGTTTACTCGTACCCGGTCCCCCGTTCTGCGTCCTTTGAGTCCATTTTTGTCTGAGTTTCGCACAAAAACTAGATCACTGGGCTTAAAGCGCGAAAAATGAAAATTTTGCCCGAGACTGTGTTAAGTTCAATTTTTGGCAGAAATTTAATTAAGTTTGGGAGCACAAAGAGGCCTCTGCTAAGACAATTGCGTGCAAAAATTGTTGAGACTAGCAGTTTATTGGCCCTCTCCCTCCTGTAACAATGGTTCGTGCCCCCCCATACATGTTGTTAAACGATTTTGAGGTCAGGGCTTATCAAATAATATGTTTTCAACATTGTTAATGGGGGGAGGGGGACACACGCACATGAAAAAGATCACCAAAATTTTTGCACGTGATTGTAGGGGCGACTAAAATACAGTTTTGAAAGTTAGCTATTCTTGGCCGAAAACTGGAAAATTTACTTTCGATACGCCTTGAGTTTTTAAGAGATGGAATTGCGGACATTCTAGCACATCCAAGCTGCATAAAATGTAACTCTAAGTCATGAGAAATTGAAAATGAATGAGAAATTGATATTGTCCTTTTTTATTAAGAAATAATTATTGTAGTAATTCTTTTTGCTTATAAGCAATAAATGTTTTAATTTATTCCTAACCAATTTAGATAGATAATATCCATTTTTAGACTTAAGATACGACTTGTAAAGCTTGTTTTTATTCTTAATTGAAATCTTGAGGCCTTTTGTAATCCATGGTTTGGTTAGCAGCTTCACCTTATTTTTAGACAATTTTTTCAAAGGGACATGTTTCTCAATAATTATATTTAGTTTATTAAAAAAAGTATTAAATGCTAAATTTGCATCATCACTATTATAAACAATTTCCCAATTCACAGCACCAGTTTCTGCAATAGGATCTTCTTCATTATAATGGGAATAATCTCTCAAAGACATCATTTTTTAATATTTTAAAATTAAATTTACTTACGATAAGAAAATTAGGAAGGTGGTCGGAAATGTCATAAATTATATTGCCACTAGTGGTAGAATGATCAATGGAATTAAAGTAGATGTTATCGAACAATGTGGCGGAATGATGAAATATTAGTAATCAGATCCTTACCTTGCATTATTTTAGTTTCAGAAACACCTATAACATTGAATTCGAAATCCAAATCAGATAACAATGACACTTGAGACAATTCTCGAATAGTTGCTTGTTCCTTGGGCGGAGACTTTCAGAAATGTATAATTTGTGTTCAGGTGACCTCAAAAAACCAAGATCTCGAGTTGTTTTATCTTTTAGTTGTAAACGACCTTGATAAAACTTAGCTTTGGTGTCTCTACGTGTAAATTTGACAATGATTTTAGCAGAGGTGTTAAGAGTACTGGTGGTTAATGGGTTAACAAACCTATCCGTACATGTCTCTTGTTAACTCATTAGTGGGCAATGCGCCCTACTTTACTACTGTACTTACTCTGTCCAACGCCAGACAATTTTACTCGTCAGTGGTGGAGTACGAGTGGTAATATAGAGGCCGTTCGACCCTTATTTTTGTGGTTGGCGTGTGGTGGTTTGTGGTGGCACATCATTAGCATAGACTGTGGTGGTGCATCATCATTAACATACATCATAATTATATGCAATGACGTCACATGGGCATGTTCGGATAAAATCGTCAAAACTTGGTGACTAGGCATTTTTTAGCATCCCTGCATGTGTGTGATACAATAGAGGGAATAAGATTGGCTTACTATGATTGGTTGTTTGATTTAACGAGCGTCTGTATAAAATCAACAAGAGTCTTGTAATAAGCATAGTTCTGCATTTGACAATGCTTAGTTCTATATCAGGCATGGCGTGTCTACATGGTAAAGCTGCGTCTTACAATTTATTGGAAGGAATATATGCGAATGCAGTGGCACAAGAAGTGGAAAGACTTTGTGTGCAATCCTGTAATGGTTGTCAAGCTGGTCATCCTAGTCAAAAACAATATGACTGCCTAATGATGAACGAAAATGAACAATGGAAAATGTATGGTTTACAACGATCGAACAAGTGAATGGTAAGCGCGTATGGTCTGGAATTAATTCGCTGAGGCAATCAGGGTAATAAAACTGGCAGTTGACAGAGATGTACTCTCGAACATTTACAGCAACTGGAAAAAGATCCAGATTCTACGTTTGTCGAACTACATCAGAACACTGAGAACCATGAACTACAATGTATACTGAACTATTTGTTTCATTGGAGATTAGAAGACCCTCTCGAGTCAGTAGCTGAAACGTTTTTTTTCGTACCCACCTAGTTACATACATGTATTATGTGAAGGCGACGGGTGAGCGATTTAGAAGTTTTGAGGCAGATCATAAGAAAGCTTATCACAAACTCATGGAGAAAAAATGTTTAGAACAGTTGTGATACATTTTGCATAAAAATGTTTTTATCAAATATGTGGTTGTTATATGCGTTGCTATGCGTTACCACCAGTCATTGATTAGCGACGCATGGGTGCATGCATATATTAATGTACAACATATTTGTAAACCAATCAGGCGGGCGAGTTAGGCAAATCGTGTGGGCGGAAAGAGCAGGCAAAAGCTTGCACAAGATTTCAGTTTTTAAATACATTTATTTCCTCAAATGTTTTACAAAATTTAGTACGATCGACTTCTAAGAGCGTAACGCTTAGGTGTTTTTGTTATCTTTAAAGAATTCTCATATTCTTGTCTGTCTTACAAAGGTCTTTTTTGAAGGTTTGTCAGGACTTGGGAGAGGGTTAGAGAAATGGGTTAGGAGAAAATTGCTACCACACAGGATCGTATTTTATTTTATTTTTATAAACCAAACACAAGCAACCACTAAGAGTCAATGTCACTAGGATACCATGTGTTTCTGAAAAGTCTTTTCAAAAGAAATTTTCTCTTGTTAATAGCGGCCTCTAACACTTCCCTGTGGTCGAAATTATCATCGTTGACAAAGACATCCTTGGATTCCATAATACAAATTATGCAAATCTGTTCGAAGTTTTGGTACGATAAGTAAGTATGCCTTGTCTTTAGCTTCGTTTTCGTCAAAACCTTCTGTGGTGAAATTCTGTGTTAGTTCTTCGAATTCCGATAAACTTTGTTGTCTGCTTCAGCTTTTAAAGGAGCCCATGGATCGCTTTCGTATTCATCACTAGCACTAATTCTTCTGTTAATTAATTTGAGCCACAGTGTACTTTCACGCTGAAGAATGCTAATGCTAGTTTGTAAAGCAGCAGATATGTCGCCAGTGTTAAAGGAGCAACAAACATTCAAACATGCCTCCATAAATTGAACCGTACTTGATTTAAACAATTCAGCATCAAGTTGTATTCCTGGCTCTGAACTACAAATAGATACTGTAATCTCCGAAACTTTACTTTCTAATACGTTTCATCGCGACTTCAGCCAATCATAGTAAACCAGTTTTAATCCCTCTATTGTATCACACACGTGGAGGGATGTTAAAAAATGCCTAGTCAGCAAGTTTTGACGATTTCGTCCGAACATGGCCGCGAGACGTCATTGCATATATTTATGACGTATGCTAATGATGATGCGCCACCACCACAGTCTATGCTAATGATGATGCGCCACCACAAACCACCACACGCCACCACAAAAGTAAGGGTCGAACAGCCTCTATATTACTACTTGCATGGTTAATGGGTTAACAAACCTATCTGCCCATGTCTCTTGTTAACTCATTAGCGGGCAATGCACCCTACATTTAATTTTTACTCTTGTGCCCCACATTTAATTTTTACTCTGGCTGACACCAGAAATTTTTACTTGTCAAGAGGCATGAGTCTATCACAGTTTCAATATATATTGATAATCCAATTAACCCAGCCACCAGGGGCTGATTGTTCAAAGGTGGGTTAGCGCTAACCAGAGGTGGAAGAATTTTTTTTCTTTCTGGGAACCTGGGTCGAAGGCTAGAAATTTTCTGTAAAATTTGCAATGTTACAATTACAAACATAACAAAACAAATGCATAATTATTGTATTATTTGTATTTTAGTAATAATAGGCTTTAGGCTGGTTTTCGTATGCTCGTACATCGCAATAGTTGTCTGTTATTTTCCACAGTTATGATCACTCCGATTGTAAACCAGTTTTCTGAGCTCTTTTGTGATGATAATCTCTGTTCTTGATTGATATTCTAATTTCAGCAGTAATCCAAGGCAGCATGGCATGACAGACTCTTTTAGAACAAATAGGTGCATGTTTGTCCATTAGTGAAAGTACAGTGTTTTTAAATGCAAGCCACACATCCTCTATAGCAAGGGAGGTGTTAATCATGTCCCAAGACGCAGCTTGAAGGTCTACAATAAAATCACGAGGCTTGTAATGTTTTAAAATTTCTATAGTGAATATTTTTACAACTGGCTCTTGGCCTTCTAGCTTGTCTAATAATAAAAATTAGCGAATGGTCTGAAATTGAACACGTTAAAATGCCAGATGAAACAACCTTTTCACTGTCATTGGTCAATGCTAGGTCTATAAGGCTAGATGTGCGATCTGTAATCTGTGTAGATGATTTGATAAGTTGATTTAATCTCTTACTGGACATATCACAATTTAAATCTCCCATAATAATGGTTTCTTTAGTTTCAGGAGAAAGTTCTTCCATAATTTCCTCAAAGTCCATTTTAAATTTATCAAAATCACTGTTTGGTGGGCAATTCCAACCAGACTGACTCACTGTAAATAACACAAGTACTCAAGGTCTGTTCTAGACGAGTAAGCATCTAATTTTGGTGCTCGCTGCTTATCTTCATATTTTCGTACATTTGTTCTTACATTTGTCAATCTTTCGGTCCTTTGAAACTAATGTAAAATATTATCATAGCAGTTGGTTGTAGCTGTTACTATTCATGTTTATTGACTGGTCAAGGCCAAGACTAAAGTTGTTTTCACATATATTCGCCACCATGTCTGTTACGAGGTCACATAGGGCTTCACTGGATGCTGACTTCAAGAACGACATTAGTACATTGATTAAAGATGAAATTATCAAGGCGATGAACAGCAAAGAGATGAAAAGTGCTATATCAAATCAGGTGAAACAACTGATTAAAAGCGAACTTAATTCTATTGTAAAACCGCTCAAAGATGATCTTGCATCCATTAAGGCTGAAAATTCTTGCCTTCGTGTTGAACTATTAAACATAAAGAATCAGAATACAACCCTTTCACTACATGCAAATGCAAATGAACAATACTCTAGGAAGTATAATGTTAGAATATCTGGCATTGAAGAGGTTCATGCAGAAGATTGTTTTGCAGTGGTTTCAAATTTTTTCAAAACCGAACTCGGTGTCACTGTTAATGACTCTCATATTGATCGCGTCCATAGAGTTGGAAGACGAGGTCTTTCTCCTCGCCAAATGATTGTTAAATTCACAAGTTATCGTGCCAAGGAAAGGGTTGTTAAGAATCGCAGCAAGGGCAAGAAAGGGTTTTATGTCGATGAAGATCTAACTTCTTTCAATTTGGATCTTCTTTGAAAAGCTTGCATGGCTGGGCATGTTCAACACATGTGGGCGAGCGACAGCAAAATTTTTGTCAAACTAGAAGACAAGTTCATTCATGTGGTTTGTTGCCCCGATGACATTTTGGCCCTTCAACCAGAGAAATGATTGATTTGTTATCGGTAACACACTATTTCCCACGGTGACGATATCTAATATATTTTGTTCCTTAAACTAACATTATACTATATAATCTTTTTTCTTTCTCTATTTCTTTGTTTGTTATGTCTCTTAGTATTCCAGGTGAGAAGCATGATGTGAGCATTTATATATCTTTTTACAAATTAGAATTCGATGGGGGTTAGTTTAGAAGTATATCAAGCAGCTATTGTTCTGTATAATTGTGTATTTCTTATCTTACTGTTAATGCTTATGGCATACGTTTGTTTCTTGCAATTATTAGTCTTGTTATACTATTTATACTTCTATTTGGGCTTATCATGTTACTTTTATTATCTGGTTCGGTGCATCCAAACCCCGGCCCTTGCAATACTTGCATGATTATAACACATTTGAATGCAAGAAGCTTAAACATTGTTGATAAATTTAGCCAAATCTCTGCAATTGCTGAACTACATAAATTGCTTGCTTTCTTTGAAACTTGGCTAAACTCCACTATCTCAAACAAGTCAATCTTAATGTCAAGTTTTAGTGCTTCACTGAGAAAAGATCGAATTTCATCTCGTGGTAGAGGTGTTTCTTTGTATGTCGCAGATCACTTGCCGTTCGTCAGACGACTTGATTTAGAATCTCCATTTACTGAGTTGTTATGGGCTGAAATAGCCGTCAAAAATACTTTGCGGAGTGGTGTGTCATAGGCCTCCTAGCCAAACCTCTGATCAATTAGATTTATTTCTAAATTATTTATAGGCCCGTCTCGACTCTATTAATATGTCTAATAATTTTTCCACTATCATAATTTTAGGTGACTTAAATGCCCATTTTGATTTCGCTGGTGGCTCGTCACTTAATACTGATGTCAGTGTCAAGCTATACAGTGTGTATAAAAAAAGGCTAGTCTTTGAAATTCAAATTAGTCATAATTACAGTGATCTCGTTGTTCTAAACTGCGTAGAGTTAATGATACGTGACAAAAACGTGTGTTATTTACAAAAGAGATCAATTAACTTTATTTTAATTGCAGGGTGTTTATTTCACACAAATAAGTTAAAATTATTTGAAGATAAATTTAAGCGCCTTGTCCTTCAACATGATCACCATTTCTCTGAAGGCAAAGACTGGTTCTTGTACGCATATGATGCACAGCTCTTGTAATAAAGTCACGATTTTGCTGTAGAGCATTGAATTCTTCAATGATTCTCTGGCTTAGCATCTCAATGTTGTTGGGCAGCTGGAAAAATACCTTACTTTTCAGATAGCCCCACATAAAAAAGTCACACGGTGTTAAGTCCGGTGAATGTGGCGGCCATTCCCCACATTATGGCAATCCACATTATGGCCAATCCAACAACGTGGTCATTTCCAAACGCTTGGCTCAGAAGATTACGTATGTCCAAACGACGATGCGCAGGTGCACCATCCTGCACCCACCACAGATTGCAAAACACTCCATTTTCATACTGGTTTTGGAAATGAACAGTAAGGAAAGGTGAAGCATATTGTTGCAACATTTGGAGGTACGCATCGCCGTCGACATTTCCCTCAAAGAAATACGGACTCAACAGGACACAGTTTCCGCACACTGCTCCCCAAACAGTTAGTTTTGCACGAGAATCTTTTCTGTTGAAATTAAATACTGGCACATTTCCTTTTGGGGCACCAATTCATTGAGAATGCACCAATTCATTCATACCATTCATTGAGAATGTAGCCTCGTCACCAAGCACCAAGTTTCCCCAAAAATGTGGTTCTTCACATTGTTGGTTAAACCTTTGGGAAAAATTCAATTGCCTCTGATTATCATTTGGCAGCAACTCATGGCTTACGTGCATTCGAAAGGGGTGCCATTGAAGGTCGAGCCTCGTAATGCGGTTAAAGCCGGCTGATGTTATACCAAGGGGATTTCGATGAGCACTAACTTCTGGATCTTGCTCTAGCAGATGCCTTACTGCTTCAATATTAACTTCGGAACACGCTGTTTTTGGCCGGCCATAATTTGTCATGGCCGGCCATAATCATTGTCTTGTTTCGTGATTGTTGTACTTCCTGACGTTTTTTAGAATTGTTGTGTGTACTGGAGGATTATGGTCTGGAAATCGTTCCCGAAATGCGTTCTGCACTAACACTAAACTGTGGGTCGTGTTGTAATGCAAAACAATAAATATTCGTTGTTCTGTCATCAATTGAATTTTATCCTCCTGAAGTTCTGTACCATTAACAACATAATTTACACCATAATTTGAGTTTTTCAGTCAGGTCCCATAAGTAGTAGAAAATCTTTTGTTTTATGGCTTGCTAATTGATTAGCAGTAATTATAAATTCAATACAATGTGACTAATTTGAATTTCAAAGACTAGCCTTTTTTGATACACCCTGTATAATTTTTTGGAAGGTAATAACTTTATTTATTGATCGTTCTCTGACTTAATATTTATTTCTACAAGCTTTCAGCTATCAGTCTATAGCCTTCGACGGGTGTATACAAATGATTCTATAAAGGACGCTAAACTTAAGTAGGTGGTATGAGACTATCTATGCTATGTTATAAATGGGTAATATGAATATTTAATTAATTAATGTTTCTTGAGTTCCTTTCTTAAAAGTATTGTGTATTGTGCTGGAAGCGTATTAGAGTTATTATCAGCTTTGTCTGTTAGTGCAGTGTGCCAGGACTCTAAGGTTTTAAGGTTTCTATGATTTCCCTTGTCTATCACTTTAGCATTCGCAAAGTCAATTACATGATCTTGAGTCCATGCGTGTTTTGCAACATTCGATCCCCTCTTGTTCCCGTCGAAGGCTATAGACTGATAGCCGAAAGCTCGTAGAAATAAATATTAAGTCAGAGAACGTTCAATAAATAATGTTTCAACCTGGCTACGCATCCTCTATTTTTTTCAGGTAATAACTTATTTCAATTAATTGAAGAACGTACTTGTGTTACATTGACCGGGGAAACTATTCTTGATTTAATCATTGCTGATTCTCCTGGCTATTTTATTTCTAATGGAACTTTGAGTCCTCCTTCCAATTGTGATCACAATATCGTTTTTGCTAACTTGAATATCTCTTCAAGAAAACAATGATCATTTAAAAGAACTGTTCGTAATTATAAAAGTGCAAATGTTAATGCTCTCAATGCAGCACTATTAAATGCTAATTGGGGAAATATTTTTTCTAATCTGTCAGATTTTATTGATGTTGTTTACAATAAATGGTTTAATTTATTTAAATCAATTCTTGATGCCTATATTATTTCCTCTAGGGAAATTACTGTTCGGCTCAAAGACAAGCCCTGGATGAATGGCTCAATTCGCCAAGCTATTCGAAGATGTGGTCGTCGTCTTAAGGTTACAGGATACCCTTTTTGGGCGTTTTGCGGAAAATTGCTACTGCGTACTCAATATCAGTCGGATTTTTATCAAATTTTCACCAAATGTTCTCCGGTGCATGCAAAATATGGTAAAGTTGTAAAATTGACAAACAATAAAATAATAGAAAAATTATTCAGGAAAATCTTAAATTGCAGTACCTTTACGCTTTCGAGTTATGTTCCTGCTGGTTTTAAGATATATTTATGAAAATATCATTTTTATACAGTAAAATAGTTGTTCTAAAAATTGTGTTCGGAAATTTTGGTTTATTTCATCATTCCGCTGATATTGGCGATTTCTTTGACGACTGTAATATATTTCTGAATCGTTTAAGTGATATTTTAATAATACCCTTATTATTAAAATATCCAAAATTAGAACAAAGCCAAACACAATTTTGAAACTGATGTCTTTAGCTATGTCCTGTGAAAATTTGAGAAAAATTCATTAAAACCCGCAGGAGCACAACTCATTTAAAAATCAGTAATTGCCGTAAAATTCTTCAGGAGAAAATTGAATTTGAATATTACATTTCCAATGTTTTTCTTATTGCAGCGAAATGTATTTTATTAAATAACTCTGCGAGGTTTCAACATTTTTCGTTCAAACTTGGTCAGATAGTAGAACCAGTCTAATACTTTCATGGAAACCAGTAAAAAAATTTAGACAAAATTAACACTCAAAGGTGTTCTGTAACCTTAAACGTTTTTCAAACATTAAAAGTGTATTGTCTTGGAAACGTTACAGCACTCAATGAAATCTCGTTGTTAAATTAATTAGGAGAGCCAAAATGGAACACCAACGTAAAATAAATACTTTACTAGCAGATCCATCGACATCAGCCAAAAAGTGGTGGGGCATTTCAAAATCTTTGTATGGTAACAAGTGCTGTTCTTCGTTACCTGACTTAATTGACAACAACATTGTCATTTCAGATTTGCAACACAAGGCTCAGGTTTTTAATGATTATTTCGTTGGCCAAACAATTATGCCTAATGCTGATACTGCAGATATTCCCTCCTTACCTAGTTCACCTCATAATTTGTCAATTATTGTTGTTAATGAATATCAAGTGTTAAATATTTTATATAACGTAGACATTTCTAAAGCATGAAGTTTTGACAATATTAGCAACAAAGCACTCAAGTCTTGTGCTGGAAGTATTTTTAAATCTCTTACTTTGCTTATAAATTTATCACTTTCATTACGACAATATCCCAGTTGTTGGAAAATTGCAAATGTCATACCCATTTTTAAAAAAGAGAATCGGCAATGAAAATGAATTATCGCCCAGTTTCCTTGTTAGTTAGTTTATCCAAAGTATGCGAAAAAGTTGTCTTTACTGGTTTCTTCTATCGTTTCCAGTCAGATTTTCGACCAGGTGATTCCACAGTTATGCAATTAATTTTTGTTGTTAATAAAATCTATCAAGCATTAGAAAAAGGTAATGAAGTATGTGCAGTATTTCCAAGGCATTTGATAAGGTTTGGCATAAAGGTTTATTAGCCGAACTTAAAAGTATTGGCATTAATGGCCCCTTACTTCAATGGTTTGAAAGTTATTTGACTGAAAGATATCAAAGAGTAACCATTGACGAATAACATAAGTTATTTATCATGTACAAAATTGTAAATAATCTGGCCCCTCTGCATCCTGATAATGTCAGTTCTAGATCAAATCGTAGTTTACGTGCTAATGATAATCTGATTGTCCCTTTCACTAGAACCGACCATTACAAAAAGTCATTTTATATTTCCTCTGTGAATCTTTGGAATAGTCTTTCAGCAACTATTTGTTCTAGTCGTTCAATTGCCATTTTTAAAAACAGTGTGACTCGGCTACACAAGTTTGTAGCTCCCAATCCGCTATGCTATATAGGTGATCATCTACCAACTATTTTGCATACTTGTTTGGGATTATCTAATAGTACATTAAACTACGATTTGTATTTAAAAAATTGTGTTTCTTCCTCTTTTTGTGCATGTGGTTTTCCAAAAGAAACTACAGCTCATTTCTTCTTCAACTGTGACCGATATGCTGCTATTCCGAATACTTCACTCACCTCTGCTGCTTCCTTACTCGGTGCAGCGTGGTCAGGTGCTGGTAAGGGTACACGTCTTAAGTGGTTACTTTATGGTATCGGGAATGTTTCTATTGATACGAATATTAATGTATTCTTAAGTGTCCAAAAAATCATTGATTCAGGTCGTTTCACCCGTAGCAGCCCTTGACTACGTTGCCCAGTGTGTGTATGTTAATTGTGTGTTTGTCCAAAATTTGTGCTTGCTTTATTAATTTATTTTTTTTTAAATATGTAACGTCAAGAGCGCCCCAGTTAAGCCTTTAGTGGCTTTTGGGGCAATTGCCAATTTTTTAATTTAATAAAATATTGTTTATATAAAAAAAAATATTGTGTCATTGGCGAGCCATAAATTTAGTATTATAATATATAGCTATACCTCCTCTTAGAGCACCAGCACGGTCCATCCTAATGATATCATAGTCATCAATACAATGTTCCGTGTCAGTCCATGTTTCATTAAGCCAGGTCTCACTTAGGCACAATGCATCAAACAGGTTATCTTGTAAAAGTATCTTTAGTTCGTCCAGATGCTTAGGAAGGCTTCGAATATTTAAATGACCAACTTTAAGTCCAGCACCATTTATTGAGGGATAAGTCCAGCCAGGATTCGGGGAGATATCTCCAGCTGCTAATAACAATGTGGCGAAACAGCCAAACTGTAGTAATCCTATGAGTTTCATTGCCTTAAAGTTAAGTGTAAGGCTTGGTTCACATTTTCTCAGTGTAGTCTTGCTTGACCGAGCGATAAAATTTTCAGTTGTTGATAATATCTTACCAACGTACAACCTGTCACTATTTTTACCAAATAATGATGTATGAGAGGTTAATCCAGATATTAGGATATAGCAGTAGATAATTAGTAAAACTTTAGTGTAGAAATAACGAGTTTGGTTCAGACATGACGGGAACCACATGTTCGCCGCCATCTTTGCCTGGCGTGATAACACAAAATTATTTACCGTCATTGTGTGTGCAGTTCTTAATGTGCTCTCATCCAGTTTTCTTTTTTTTCTGCCGGTGGCACCACAATTGGGCTCACTGGCAGGGTTGGTAGGGTATCTCTGAGCATGGAATGAAGTGGCATCACTTCACATGTTCTATCGTCAACATCAGAAAAGCGATGCTTTCCTGAGCTGGGTCTACTGTTTTCTTTGTTGCCAGACATATTTTCTTCTATACACTACAACTGTGACTACAAGAACGGTTGGACATTTTCCAGAAAATTTTGACTGCTAATTATATCAGGCCCTGTGAATCATGCTTGTAAAAAGAAACCTGGCACGAACGAACAGTGAATGAAGGAAGAAATGTTCCTTATAGTAATTTTTTCAAGAAAAACAATCATTAACTGCATAAAATTACTAAATGCAAGTTAGAATGCATTTGTCTAGTTTCGTTTCCATATAAAAAATCATATAGCATATTTTACCATTTATTTAATCATATGGCGTATAGTTAGTCATCACTGATATTACCGTAAATTTTGAAACAAATGCACACAGATATAATTGATTGTACTAAATATACGAAGAACACTCGGTGTATATCCACACCGGGCAAGCTTGATAAATATGCCTTACCACAGTGTGAATCGAACCTACAACCTTTGCTCGATCACTAGATATCGAAGGAACTAGACTCAGTTCTGAAATATCACATACTCGAACCGACCTGACCACGTAGCTCAGTTGGCAGAGCATTCCAAAGGTCGTAGGTTCAATTTCCACCCTGGTCAGGTATATTTTTCAAGCTTGCCCGGTGTGGATATACACTTAGAGTAACATCGCAAACATTGTATTCATGTGAGTACATAACACCAGCACAGGAATAAAATACCAAAAACATTTACTATTTCCCTTGATTTGGCAGCTGGTCAGAGTCACCCCTTTTTTCCAAGAAAGACATAAGACTCTGTGCTTGTTCATTGCTTAATTTCCTCTTGTCTGCTACCAGCTACAGTTTTGATGATAGTTGTAGTATTCTGGTTCGAATTTTTACACCTGCACTCTTGTCAGTCAACACTCTGTTGTATTCTTCTTCAAGCTATATAATTTACACATAAAATAATATTTATGAAGTTGAAGCAGACATATCATCTGCATGGCCCCTGTCACCAAAGGCATACAACAGTAGGGGTGCACCAGATAGGCCGGATAGTTGTAAAATATCCTGAGGTTTAAGCCTTATTTCAGTTGCTTATAGCAGATAGTTGCATGTTCCATCATATTTTGACTTGAAATGATCAGAACAAATCTTTATAAAAGTCTACTATCAATGGCAACATGCAAGATTTTCAAAAGCCAATTACCCGAGACCCACAATGTTGGAGTATAAGCTTTGACAAAACCTTAATTCGATATTCGTAAAGCACGGCGATAGGTGCAAGCAACACGTCTGAGTTGCATATAATTTCATATATCCAGTATCCGAACAGATATACCTTTATTATCTGGCCAGAATGTCGCACTCTAAAAAATAGGTGTGTTGGAATAACACAACTTTTCTGTCCAGAAAGCAACACATCTTAAGCTGTGTTAGAATAACACAGTGATGTGTGTTAGGGTAGCACAACTGCTGAAACAACACACACTGGATGTGTGCTGAAACAACACACACTGGATGTGTGCTGAAACAACACACACTGGATGTGTGCTGAAACAACACACACTGGATGTGTGCTGAAACAACACACACTGGATGTGTGCTGAAACAACACACACTGGATGTGTGCTAAAACAACACACATTGGATGTGTGCTGAAACAACACACACTGGAGGTGTGCTGAAACAACACACTGGATGTGTGCTGAAACAACACACACTGGAGGTGTGCTGAAACAACACACTGGAGGTGTGCTGAAACAACACACACTGGATGTGTGCTGAAACAACACACATTGTGGTGTGCTGAAACAACACACATTGTAGGTGTGCTGAAACAGCACACATTGTAGGTGTGCTGAAACAGCACACATTGGGGTGTGCTGGAACAGCACACATTGGGGTGTGCTGGAACAACATACTCTGGGGGTGTGCTGAAACAGCACGCACGTCTTCAGTTATGCTACAAAACAACACACCTTCTTAACTATTACAAAATGACGCGAATACACATTTGTACTACAGTTAAAAATACTTTAATTCAAATGTATATATATATATATATATATGTATAGATATATACACACTATAAAAACTTTTTGTAAGGTATGCTGTGTAATCATTACAATATTAAACAGCTACATTAAGACATTCAAATATTACCAAAATCAGTAGTGTCTTTTCCGGAAGTTGAAAAGACAGTCAAAAGCCAGTAGAAACTTTCACGTTTTATGACGTCACGATGAAAGAATGTAGCGTGGAACTTGTAAGTTATTTTACGTATTAGTAACTCCCTGTAGTAACTTTGCATTTCTTCTCCCAGTGCCTTCCCACGAATAAAGGTTCTCCCTAGTGTGAGGCGGTTTCTACAAAAAACCGAAAACCGACCAAAAAACCCGAAAAAACCGAGTGAACAGGTTTTTTTAAAAAATGTTCGAAAATCGGTTTAAAAAAGACAACAACACACGCTATTGAATATTTTAGACCTGTCTTCGCAGACGTCCGCCTTTATTACTAGCGAATCAAAAGTTCACCGTGACGTCATAAAACATGAACGTTTCTACTGGCTTCTGACTGTCTTTTTAACTTCCGGAAAAGACACTCTACTGATTTCGGTAATACTACAATGTAAACGTCTTCGTATCAATGGGAAATCAGTAATAAAATACAGCGCCATATTTAAGCTGGTTTTCCACTAGGTGGAATTTTGTGGATACTGTGGATATGCATATGCATACTTATGGATATGCAGTATGCATATCATTTTTAAGTTCTGATACAAATGTGGAGTACTTGATGGACCTTTTAGTGCCAACTGTTGCCTCCAAAGGAAGCACAACACTCCGGACATCAACTCTGGATAGTTCACGTTGAAGACATAATAGGGAGAAATGAGATCAACCAGAGCTTCTAGTAGCACATTTGGCATTGTTTCAAAGATTGCCCTGTCTTCCCCTGCAACAAAGGCTTGTAGGGCTTCTTCCGGTGATGTTGTTAGGGTATTGAACTACCTGTGGTTCAACCAATTTTTTGAAAAGATGCACCGTGACAAAAGAACGTTTGTCAGAAAATGGATTTAAAGTGCTTCGAACAGAACCAACTTGACGCGAATATCAAGGTATATACATGCTGGACTGCATAAAAATATTAATAAATACTCACATCTTTAAACTTCATAACTGATGCACCTTTTCGGGTTGTCTTTCTCTCTATGATTTGTACCGCATCATGCACATCTTTATTATGAATGTCATCCTTTCTCACAATTGACAACTTACGCTTTAGAAAAATTTTTAATCTGGGAATAACAAAGGATATTTTCTGAAAGAAGTTATCAAAATTAGAACAACTGCAAAGTTTGGTTGCAAAATGTTGTAAAATATAGCCCTGCGAAGTTGGCAAATTTGTATACATTTCTATTACGTGCGGAAATTGGTAACTAATTTAGTTACCAATTCACACATGTAATACAAAAGTATACAAATTTGCCAACTTTGAAGGGCTATTTTTTCCGTATTTTACAACATGTGGTAAAACTCTTTTGATGTCGATGCCTCGTTGGTGTCAGGTATAGGTGATGGTGTTTCAAACGATGTATCTGGTAAACCCTCTTCAAAAGATAAGGCGCTTGGCGTTGAAGTGAGTGGAGTGTTAAACATAGCAAGTCCACTCCCAAAGTCATCAACAGGATCCAAACTAGCAAAGTTGAGACCACTATCATTGTAGAATATATTCTCCAACTGCAAGGAAATAATTTAACAAATTGTTAGAATGCAATGATTCAACATTTTGCGGTGAGCCCCAAGAAAGCTTATTGATCCAATCGCAAATGACCAATAATTCTGATGCAAATGCACCAAAAAAAAAAGATATGTTGCAAAAATTAAACCAGAATTCAGACAACTTAGAACAAAAAATTTGTAAAACATGTTTAGTATGTTATAACATATACAAGTATGCAAATAACTTAATACAGTGACACTATTATTCTGAATTTATGCATTCAAACTCAAGCTCTACTTTAATTCTTTGGACAAGTTCAACTAAGCTGCACCTCGCATCAGGATTTGATCTTGTACAGCATTTGGAAAATTGTCTTAGCTTATCATTTTTAAAGACTTTGGCTACATCATAAAAAACTATCCTCAATGAATATATGTCACTCTTAACACACCGAGGGGTATCACCCTTATTAACTTCAGGAGCAATGTAATTGTGGATCTTGTAATATTTCTCCTTCTAGGCAGTGGAAAGGTTGTACAGTTTCCCTTCTGTAATGTTTGTTGATTTCCTAAAGTCATTTAAAACTACATGGACACTCTCATTTTCTGACAGCTTCGAGGCTGGATCTTTTGTCAACAGCAGATTATCACTCTCTATGTCATTATGCAGATAACCAGATTTGTGCATATAATCCAGGGCACTTTCACTTTCCTGCATAAGTGGAAACCAAGGCAATGTTGCAGATTATTCTTTGGCAAGAGCATCATGCACAGTAACAGATTCCCCTTCAATGCCACAAAACCGAGAGACAATACAGTATGGAGTAGTTTCAGTACATATTCCAAATAAATATGGCAGGTTCTGGTGAGAAAGCCTAGACATTATTGTAGCTTGCACTGAGCAAGCCTAGACATTATGACAGCTTCCATTGAGCTATAATTACTTTTAAATTTCTTTACTGCAACACAATACCCATGAAATTTATGGAGCTCAACCGTGCCAAAAAGTACCTGCCTCCTTCTGTTTTACGATTGTAAATTGGGCATAGCATATTCAAATTCGAATAACCTGTATTCCTACTATGCCTGTCTGAATTCCGCGC